AATATGAGTTAGTACAAAAATGTTGAGTATTCACATTGCCATACTTAGATTAAATGGCTACCATCAACCATTGCCTGTCAAAAATCTTTTAATGTACTTTCTTGATAATTCACTTCAACAGATGAGTGGTTTCATTATTGCAGTGCAAAGTTTTGCTTATAAATGTTAAAAAAAATAACTGAGGTATATTTCTATACTTGTTCCCATATAGCCCTATATTCCTGATGATTTCTAGACTTCTGTCTTGTGTGTGTGTGTGTGTGTGTGTGTGTGTGTGTGTGTGTGTGTGTTTTAGCCAAAAAAAAAACTTTTAAGCTTAGACTTTTTGGAAACATTTAGATCAGTTTTAAAATTTTGATGATAGTATATAACAGAACTCTAAAGGGTCTGCAGCAAACCACCTTGACACAACTCTAGGGTTCTCTGGGCATACTTATGTTTGGCAGAAATAAAATGGGAATTTTTAGTGCTTGATACACTTAAAATGTAACTGGGAAAATGTTTTAATTAATATATCCAAGAGAAATATGTTCAAGTAAAATCAAGTAAAAATAGACCATTTTTTATGCCTTAAGAATTAAAATAGTAGCAAATGATAGGGAAAAGTCCTATATGACATCAGTATGGCTAATTATAGATATAAAATTTTAGAGTAATTTCTATTTTTTTTTATTTCAAGTTTCTTAAATCTATGATAGTATTTGCCTTCCAGTTTTGTTGACTATCACAATGTTAACTTTTATACTGCAAGAATGTTTCCTGTATTCAAAAAACCACTCTAAAAATATTTTTTATTTCGGTGGAGTGGGGAGGATATTCCTGAAAGTTTAGTGATGGCCCAATAATTTGAGATTAGATGTAGAGATTGATTTAATGAATATAATTTCAAAGAAAAGGTTTTTAGTATACATAGGTATTCAGAGTTACAAATCAAAATGAATTCATTTTTTATTCAGAATGTTAGTACATATGGCAACTAAGAATTTGTTTAAATGAAAGATACTTATGCACAAAAGTACTTTTCTGCCTATAGTCTTAAATTACTATTAAGTACTATGTAATATGATAGATAATTATAGGGTTTTAATTTGAATGCCAATGATTTGCTAGTCTTTCTAAATGGCTATTGTTGGCTAATAGTCTTCAGGGGGTCATTCATATAACCATTGTGGTTCTAAAAATACCTCTAAATACCAAGGGACAGCTTTTTTTTTTTCCTTTGGAAGCATGGCTTTTATAAAATGTACTTTTATTTGAAGTGCATCAGTTTGACTATGGTTTTTTTTTATTCATAGCACTCAATTACTTTCAAAATATGTACAGCAAAAATAACGCTGAAAAAAGAATAAAAGAGAACTCTACAGAGAGAATGTTTTCAAAACAACATGGTAGTTAAATAGAGAAAGATTTCAGTTAGGAGTATTCTGTTCATTAGTATTTTTAACCTTCTATTTATTAGTATTTTAACTGGAGATTTTTTTTCCCTGAGTCAGAGTCTTACTCTGTAGCCCAGGCTGGAGTGCAGTGGCACACTCACGGTCACTGCAGCCTCTCAACCTGCTGGGCTCAGGCGATCCTTCTGCCTCAGCCTTCCAAGTAGTTGGAATCACAGGAGCATGCCATCATACCGGCTAATTTTTTAAATTTATTGTAGAGACACAGTCTTGCCAAGTTGCCCAGGCTGGTTTCGAACCCCTGAGCTCAGGCAATCCTCTCACCTTGGCCTCCCAAAGTGCTGGGATTGCAGGCTTGAGCCACTGCACCTGGCTGGAGATGTTTTTATAAAGCCTCATTGGTTTTTTTTATAATTAATATTTCTATGGCAGAGGGATAATTAGGTAAATACTGTTGAATATTAAATGTCATATTAGTTTGAGGGAAAACAAGCATTTCTTGGTCAAAGCCCTTAACAAAATATTATACGTGAACTGATTAATTGATTTGAATACCAGTTGGGTTTGCCACCATCCAACTAGGCCCTCATAGTTACTCAGTTCATTATCTAAGGTTGTTCTGGAATGGAATGACTGTTATGTCAAATATAATGGTGTTCTTTTTTAATCTCAGATACTAACGGAGTAAATCTTGATTGGAGAATAGTTCCAACCTCATTAAATGCAGCTAAGTGTAACAACATCTCAAAGAGTCCAAACCTGTATGTCACATCAGGCATTTTAAATGCTGAATATGTGACATTCTCAATGCTGTCACCCAGTGGTTTCTGTGGCTCCTACCTTTAAGAGCTCTTTGAATACCCTAAGATAGATTCTGAACTGTTCTGTTGTCCTTGCTGCCCATGTCTGACATTGAATGCAAAAAAGATTCAGCTTAGTTTCTAATCAGACCAGAGAGGTTAAGGATTTTTGTCACACATTGAGTACCACATTTACTACATTTGGCACAGAGGAGTGTTACAATTTATGTACCTTTCTGTTCAACAGCTCTCCAGAGAGACAGTTTTTAAATTGTATTTCCAAAAGTATCCTAGGGTTTCAGATATTATATGAATAGTTGATTTCAATTTAAACTGTTTTAAAACTGTAAAGAAAGGCACATACCGTATAGTTCAGATTTCTCATTAACCAGTGATTAAGTTGAGCTACCAGGTTAACTAGTTCGGAGACAGATCTTAGACTCAAGTGTCTCCAGCCTTGTGTGTATATTTGAAACTTTTGTGAGTCAAGATTAGCACAGGGCTTCTAACCCTTCTGTGTATGCAGGCTGTGCATGAAATTGTCTGATCAGGCACACCACCACAGCTCTTTTGTACTAGGTGTGATTTATGTCCAGTAAGGCCCAGGCACATTTGTCTTGAAACTTGCCTTTACCATAGAACAATAGGAAATTAGACTAGTGAATGCTAAAATGTTGCAGTATGATACAACAATATAAAGTTAGGGGCTGGCTTGGTGGCTCAGCCTGTAATCCCAGCATTCTGGAAGGCCGAGGTGAGTGGATTGCCTGATCCCGCGGGTTCGAGACCCACGCGGGCAGCTTGGTGAGACTTCATCTCTACAATAAATCAAAAGTTAGCCGGGTGTGGTAGTGTGCGCCTGTAGTTCTGGCTACTTGGAAGGCTGAGGTGGAAGGATCTCCAGAGCCCAGCAGGTCGAGGCTGCGGTGGCCGGGAGCGTGCTACTGCACTCCAGTCTGGGCGACAGAGTGAGACTCCAACTCAAAAAAAACAAAAAATGAATAAATTTAGGCCTTTTTTACATTTTAGGTGACATTTGTCAAACTTATTGTTGTAATAAGGAATACAGTTACTTTCCATAAATAAATATATTTGAAAGAAATTCCTTTAATTTTGTTGACATTTTGGTTTGCTTCCATTATGGACATTTTGCAATTAAAAAGCAAGTTGTTTTTTTTTTAAATCAACCATTTGCAGCCACTTACTTTTGTAGATCAGGATTATCTTGATGTCCTACAATAGAAAGAAAAGAAACAAGTTATATAACTTACATAGAACTGTAGATGTCATCCATAGCCTTTTCTATCAGAGTTTTGTGTTCATAAGTATAACCTTGTTATTTTCATTGATTAACTTTTAAGTAAATGTTACTGACTATTCCTAAAATTTGTGGACTTTTCTTTCACCTAATCTTCAACATAGAGCTATAGAATTCTGTTTTAGGCAATTATTTTTACTTACACGTTTATAATGTGTAGATCTTGGAGAGCATAAGTATTACTGAGTATATGTCTTAGTCAGCTCAGGCTTGTTCTAACAAAATATCATAAACTGGGAGGCTTAAACAGTGGACATTTATTTCTCATAGTTCTAGAGGCTGAGAACCCAAGATCAACGTGCTGGCAGATTCAGTGTCTGCTGAGGGTCTGCTTCTTGGTTCATAGACCACAGTCTTCTCATTGTATCCTCATGTAGTGGAGAGAGGAAGCAACCTCTCTTGAGAATCTTATAAGAGACAGTAATTCCATTCATGAGGGCACCATCCTTGTGACCTCATCTAATCCCAATTACCTCTCAAATAACCCACCTTCTAATACCACCACGTTGGGGGGTAAAGTTTCAACATATGGAGTTGGGAAGAGTGGGGATGTAAGTGTGCAGTCCATAACAGTATGCAAGCTCATTACTCATACTTTATTACTGTTTCACATAACTAAAAATTTGATGTCCAAAATGTAAAAAGGGAAAATTAAATCATAAAGCAAAATGAATCTTAAGTAAAGGATACTAGATAAAGACAATTAAGGCAAAACCACTACTTTGCATTCTGCATATAATCTTATTTTGGAAATTATATTGCAGGTCAGAATTTTCCTGTTTACATGTAATGTGTAAACTGAACTCTTTCAAGAATACTCAAGGCAAAGAGGTGATAAAAATGGAACCTGTTTTGGTTAGTAGAAAAAGAAATGAGGAAGAAGCATGTTGTGACACATTGTACCTGCACTCTAGTTTTAACTGGACTCAGCTCTCTCTCTCTAGTAAGAAAATCACTCATCGCTTTCCCAACTTCTTAAAGATGCATTGAGAGATAAAGTAAATGACCTTGGAACCTGATATGTGTCTTCTGGATTTTATTATCCAATATTCTTGCCCTAGACTTAGGCTTTGGAAAGCCTTAATTTATTAGAACATAAAGACTTCATTCCCCAAAGGACTGGAGTGTATCCCTCAGAAATCTTATAAATTTTATTTTTTAAGGCACATTTTTTATGCTTAGGTTTTCCATAACACCTTTACCCACAAATATAAATGAGGTTTCAGGAAAATAATAATAATAAAGTTGTATGTTTAGAAAGCCTTGCAACAAAAAATATTATTGCTTGAGGCATTCTAAAAGGAGTTTTTCAAATCTCAATTTTAATAAAGAATGTCATTTGTGGCTGAAATTCTCCCGTTTGAACCCCGCCCACAGCCATCATCGTTTATCCTGCTTCTGCCAGGCATACTGTTCCAGAGCCTGGATGAGCAGCCACCCTTCTTATTTCCACTTTGCTTATGCTGTATTTGTTTCCTTTCTTTGCAGAGACCCTCCTGGATGACTTCCTCCTCACGTACACTGTCTTCATGACAACTGATGATTTGTGCCAGGCGCTGCTAAGGCAATATCCTTCATTAACTTGAGGATGCTGCGTGGCTTCCTCTCAGACAGATGTCTCACATTAGGAATTAACTGCCTTTCTTAATTTACTCAGCCCCACAGTAGAGTGTGGATATGTTAAATATTAATGTAGTGATGTCCAGGGTAAAAGATGAAATGAGACAGAATAGACAGGGGGAGCTGGAAATGGTGGAGTGGCTGATTTTACATTCTGTGTTGTGGGTAAATTGCACTGTTGATATGACGATTGCTTCAAATCTGTGCTTCATGATTGCTTAGAAATCTGCAGGTAAATATGGCCTACTGGGTGAGGCCTAGAGTCAAGAGGTTGTATAGATTGGCAGTAGCATGCAATAAGTGGACTTAAAGGAGAATCAATCGGTTTGTGTCAGACCACTTGTGCAGGAAAACGTGCATATGTGATATCATGTTCCTGGCAAGTGTCCTGGGAGATGAGCCATTCCCCCACATGGGAGGTCTAACCTAACCCTGGGATCAACTGTCATCTTTTCAGAGCTTTGTCACCACATGCTCTCTCAGAATGATGGATGTGATGAGAAGGTAATGACCAGTTAAGGAAGCCTTAGAATTTTATCCACTAACTGGAAGAAATGTAATACAGAAACAGAGAAAGGCCAAAAAGCAAAACTACATACCTTGCTGAAAAGTCTCCAAATATTTTAAGTTTATTGCCTTAATATATTTAAAGAGAATGTTTCAGAAGCATTTTAGTAGCCTGTTAGCTGTCCTGTTTTTATTAAACCAAACTGAAGATTTCAATCTGGTCCACGTGAATGTTTTTAGGAAAGTGGATTCCTTTTTGTGTATAACAAAGTTTTATTAAGACCTAATGATAATGGTTACTTAATATTTTTCTGTTAATTAATGATTACATCTCCCATCTTTACAGCATTATTTTCTGCCTAAAAGAATACTTTAAAATTCCATAAATGACATAATTAAAGTAAAATCTCTCTTAAAAATATATATGTATATATATTTTTTAAGAGAGATTTTACTTTATGTCATTTAGAAATGACATATGATTCATATATATATAGGAAATGGTAATTATTTTTTAGTCTTTTACTATATCCTATGACCAAACAAAGCTATGGCAGATATTTTGAAACTTTTTAGAATCCGTTTATAAAACTGATCCTGAAACAGTATTAGTTTTGAATTTGGAAAATTTCAATAGTATGTGCAGATTTCTTCCACAGCTTCCAAGTGGAGTATTGCTAAGCAGTTTAGCAATAATTATGATTTTGAATTTTTCCTTCTTCAAAAGTATTTTGGAAAAATACCTGTGAGTTAGTTTCATCTACGTTTTAATGGTAACATATTTCTAAAACAATGATCTTCCATTAAGTAATATGAATTGTGTTTTTATGGAAAATTAGGTGCCTTCAAACTCTTGTCTTGAACTGTGGTCCTAATATTATTTGTGATTATCATTTAATAATGTAGTGCCTCATAGGATGTCCCTAAATAATCTCTAAAACTTTACTTGGATATGAATATGTTTTGAGTCCTTATGACTAAGATTTTTATATGAAAACTTAATTCAGATTCTTAGCAGCCTTTGTGCCAATTATCAAAGCCCATGAAATCTAAAACATTTTAAACCAGATGTCTTTCTACATGATTGTTTCCATATATAAATATATATATATATATATATATATATATATATATATATATACTCTACCTTTGATGAAATAATACAAACCACAAACAAAAGTACGGCATCATTTGATATGAGTTATTTTTATGCACATCTTAGTGAAGATATCTTTTATATCTCACTACTATGAACTTCTAAGGGAGGGTCCAAATTATTCCGGTTTGTTTTCCCAGGTTTTTGAACATTATTTATAGGTTAGAGCCATTTGTGCTGGATTTGGATGTTTTAGGTAAGTATTTTTATTGTAACAGAATTTAATAGCTTCTACCTTTTATCATCATATAAGATGCAGTTTAAGCTCATAGTTCTGGACTAGCTAATATTCAGTGCATTTCCCAGAACTTAAAACTCTTACACTATGTCTTCCTACTACCCACCATCAGCTTAATTTATAAATTAGTATAATCTAGCATAGACAAAATGTAAAAAAATGTGTATACCCTAATATCAAAAACCAGACTAATACAAATGCAAAGTTAACCAGTAAGTATTTTAAAAATACATTATCTTGCAGGGAGGAGAAAAAGGTTAAGCAAAAAACTGTTGGTAACTATGAATGAAGAAGAATGATTGAAGTGTCAGTCCCTGGAATTGCTTTATTCTTCTGGTCTGTAATAATAAAACATATATATTCAGCTTGAATAAAAGGCTCACACCTTCACTTACATGTGCTGACCTAAAAACAGAATGTGTTAATATTTCCTAATTTTCCAGACTTGTAAAACATTAATGAAGACATTATATTCACAGTAAAAAAAAAAAAAGTAGAACATTTGCATAAGTAGAAATAATGTAAGCTAAATCTTTATATTTTGCCCTTCAAGGGAAAAACTAAAAGAAATAAAAATTATAACAGATTTTTTTTTGTCTTTGCCAGTTTATTTCAAAAGTGGACATCAAAGATGGCCTTAATATATTTTTGCATAATGGGGTGACAATAACTAAATTATATTTGATATTTACAAAGCCTGATGTAGCATTTATTTCTATTTTGCACTTATATGTCAGCATTAAAGAATATATAGTCTAGGCCGGGCTGGGTGGTTCAGCCTATAATCCCAACACTTTGGGAGACCAAGGCAAGTGAATTGCCTAAGCCCGTGGGTTTGAGACCAACCCGGGCAACTTGGCAAGACCTTGTCTCTACAATAAATCAAAAATCAAAAATTAGCCAGGCACAGTAGCCCACGCCTGAGGTAGAAGGATTGCTGGAACCCCAGCAGGTCAACACTGTGGTGGCTGTGAGCATATCACAGCACTTGAGCCTGGGTGATGGAGTGAGAATCCAACTCCAAAAAAAAAGAATATATAATCTAGTCACACAACCCCAAGCCTGCCTGTATTTAGTATCACAGTATTTCCTAATCCTAGTCATCTTCTGTTTATTTATTTATTTTCTGAGTCAGGGATCTCCCTCTGTCACCCAGGCTGGAGTGTGGTGGCACAATGACAGCTCACTGAGACCCTCAACTCCTGAGCTGAAGGGATCCACCCTTCTCAGCCTCCCAAGTAGCTGGGGCTATAAGCATGCGCTACCATACCTGGCTAATTTTTAAAATTTTTTTGTAGAGATGAGGATTCACTATGTTGCCCAGGCAGGCCTCAAACTCCTGGGCTCAAGCAATCATCCCTCCTTGGTCTCCCAAACTGCTGGAATTACAGGCATGAACTGCCACTCCCTGACCCTAGCCATTTTTGAAATGTCACCAAGACACTCAGAAATTATCACTTTGGAGACAAAAAGCGTACATCAGTTTAGAATATGCCAAGCTGCTGTCTCAATCCTTGTCATTTAAACACTTTGCCTTTGAGGTTGTTATTTTTATATAATTTTAACAGCATAGTTAACATATGGTCATTGTATACAAGTTAAGAAATGCTAATAAGTAAAATAAAAATAATTCGCATACTCTGAAATCTCATTATCTTGAGAAGCCACTGTTAACTATTCAGTATATATTCTTCTAGATAATGAGATTATGCCTATAAATAAGCATTGTTAACAGAAATGGATTATCCTAACATATTCTTTTCTTACTTGTTTTTCTACTTGACAATATATTAGGAATGTTCCATGCCAGTAAATGTACTGCTGGAGTGTCATTTTTGTGGCTGCAGAATAGTCTGGTAAATGGATATGTAATAGTTTCATAAACTGTCTTTAATTATTGAAGCTTTTTGGTTATTTTCTATTTTTTGAATTTTATTTTAATTGAAATGAAATTTAACAGTCTCTCTTCTTCTGTGCTTGCACATTTATCCAGTGTTTTCTTCAAAAAAATTCCTAGGAGTGGGCATTGAGTCCTGTCACGAATTGTGCTCCAGAAATCTGTGCTCATTTGGAACTACTTTAGAAGCACCTAGTTTTACAGAATGGGAATTTCTGAGGACCAGACTCTCTATGGCCTAGTTCTGGTTTAACATTTATTGAAATAGTATTCACTGGTAGAGTGAGGCCGTCTCCCTACTTGGAGCCACTCTTGAAATTAATGGGCCACTTCTTAGCTCCTTGAGCTGGCATTAACCCTCTGCTGCTGTGTCAGTGAAATGGTCCAACCCTTCACCTCCTGACCAGCCATGTAGTACATGCCAGTTGTTTTCCTCAGTTTACTTTTGCGCTATTCCATGCACACCTTTGGCTCTCCCTCCATAGATCTCCTTTTTCCCGCATATTTGGGTACTTGTATGCCTTAGTGTATTTTATAAAAACAAAAGCAAATGGATCACTTCATATTTTTCATTTTCAACAACATAATGTTCTTTCTTAACCATTGGCACCTATTCTGCTAAGAAGTATCAAGGCAAAGAGGAAAATTCAGATGTTCCTCGTCGGAAACGTAAAGTCTTGCATCTTGTGTCCCAGTGGATTGCTCTGTACAAAGACTGGTTACATGAAGATGAACATTCAAAAATGTTTTTAAAGGTAATCTCACACTTCCAGATAGTCTTTGCTGCCAAATGACTGATTTAGCTAGGCATTTCAAAATCTCAATTGTAGGTAGCAGTCATTCAACATTTTCTGTGATAGTCAAAGCTGTGATTCAGAGAATGTATAAATTTATTTTGACTTCTGAGGCTCAATATTCCCTACAGAAAAGTCATGGGAATTTTGATTACAAACGGAATACTTAAAGAAGGCAAACCAAAATATTCAAAATTTGATACAACTTATTATGTTGAGATTTATTATATGTTTAAATTAACCAGTCCCCTACATAGAATATTTGGGTACAAAACTTATCATTTCAAAATTATAATAACATTACATTTATTATGAAACATTTGTAGGACACTGTATAATTTGAGAATGTTAAGGAATAATAATTTTTAAACAGATGCTATAGATATTTACATTTGGAGTTAGACTGATTTATCTTTCTAATCATTAATAGACTTCAGTATCATTTCAGCAAAGACAATTCTCCAGGTAGATGATTAGTAGACAGTTGGATTCCTTTGGCCCCCAAAACCATATTAGATATGCAAGTTAAAACAGAAAAGGTGTGGAATGGAACTGTAGCAAGGAAGAGTTCTAGTTCAGGTTAGGTAAGTACCTAAATAGTTTCTCCCTTTTATGAAAGAAACCACGGTAAACTCAACATTCAGCTGTCATTTAGACTTCCAGTTGAAAACTGGAATAATCAACTCTTTGACTAAACCCGTGTTGTTTTCAAGACAAGTGGTTAATTAAATTTTAACTGATTTTCCCCCCTCCCAAAAAATTCTGTAGACACTATTTTAAAATGTAGAACAGGCCATGGAAATCTTCAGTAGCTAATCAGGGATCTCTAAATTTCCAGAATTCCTACCTGCATCCCATAAAAGCAGGTAGATGAGCCATGGCAGTTGAGTAAGGGGCCAGGAGTTATAATCTGCTTCTGATTATAATCTGCCATTGGTACCTGTTTAAACCCCTAGATTGTCCTGGATTTCTTCTTATTTCCTAGGTAGCCATTGTGTGTCCTAATGCCTCCAAAATGAGCACTGAACCATTTCAGCTGCCATTTATCTTTTCCCCCAGACCATATACAGGAATGTACTGGATGATGTCTATGAATATCCAATACTTGAAAAAGAATTGAAAGAATTTCAAAAGATACTTGGAATGCACCGCCGTCAGTAAGTATTGCATTTTTCTAGTTATAGTCAATGAAAGAAAGCAGCAGCAAATGTGCTAGTTCAGGATATTTTATACACTAAAGTTGATTTTGAACATATTGACTCAAATTCATCTTGATTCCTTGGCTTTTCTAGTAGTAAATTGTGTTTTTTGTTCTTGTATCTCAAAATGGAAGAATACTAAATCAAGCTATTTTTGTAGCCCTGTTTGATACAGTAAAAACAAACTGGGCCATGACAACCTGAAGCATAAAAATAATTATTTAGTCAATTGTTATTTAATTTTAAAAGTCTAAGTATTTAACTTGTCATTTTGTGGTTCATAGCTATCCCTATGAAATAACAAAAAAAATTGTATACATAGGTCCCAGCAAGCCATGGAGTACTTTAAAAGCTCGATTTTATGAACTCCTTGAGGTTTCTTTATCAATTTAGAAAGATTAAAGAAAACCGTTTACTCAAAACCTCTTAGCATGTCCAAGTGTTCCCTAGGTGTCTGTCATTAATCTTTCAGATTGGCAACACCCAACTTTACCATTGGTGATACTCCTACTAAGTCTCCTTATTAATTTCAGTAAATGAAAGCATCAAGTAATTATTCAGTTTTCAGATATATCTACAGAGTTCATCTGAAGGGAAAAATTGTTCTCTGATTTACAATATACTCAGTAAACATGAAGCATGTTTATACTCAGTAAACATGAAGCATGTATATTGTCGGGTCATGAAAAGTTATGTTAAGATTTCAGCAATCACAAATTGCACTTCTCATAAAAAATGTCAATTCAGGCCTTTCAGATTACTGATTGGCAATTTAAAGCCTGACTTAGTTTTAGTAAAGAAAGACCTATTGTAAATTAAACATCTATATAAATTAATCTTAGCAAGCAAGGCCTTGTGTAAGCTTTAGTCTTCAGTCACCAAAACTGAACATTGAGATTCAGAAATAAGGTGCAAGTTAGTACAGTGTGTTAGAAATGAATGTTGTGAATCTTGGTGGCCTTCTTTTACATTATAGTCAGTTTCCACAGCCTAAGACTAATATGAAAATACTAATAAATGAAACAAACAAACAAAAAAACCTTGCCATCAAAATAATCTCCGAATGGAAGTTGCTCTGTGCTGTAAAGCAAACCTTTTACAATTGGGAAACTTTAATTCATGGTTTAGTACATTTAAATACAATCTGTTAAATGCATTAATGGAACTTAATACATTCCATTTTAAAAACTTACATAAAAATGGTAACAGTTTAAAGTAAGACAATGATGTTAAAGAATGATTCCTGCCTGTTTGGTATAAGATCATGAAATAATCTTATTGATTTCATTTATTTCGGTGGCTCAGCCTGTAATCCTCCGCTTTGGGAGGCTGAGGTGAGTGCATTGCCTGAGCCCGCGGGTTCGAGACCCGCCTGGG